TACGTTTTTAAACCATTGAAATCAACGATTTCACACTGGCTAGGCACGGTGATAACTTTCTAGTTGCGGTCAGGTTTTTACATACCGAATAGTTGATCCAACGCGGCAACGCCTGCTTTATAGAAGACAAATAGAAGTAGAGATCAGAGAAAGAACACAAACATACAACCCTAAGCTTTCGTTGACGATTTTTTTTGCGATTTTGAGGCGAGGATTGAGGAAAGAACCGGACGAAGGGAGCGCCGAAAGCTTTTCGAGAGGGGAGCGCCGAAAGGATGAATCGCAAATAGTAGGGTTAGCCGATTAGGGTTGCTGCCTGTGTTTTTATATTTTAAGTTATGTACTTATATTAATATATATATATAATACTTTATATTAATTATAGAATTTATATATATAAAAATATTTATAATACTATTTACTAAATTATATATTATAATTTATAGGATTTAATATTTTAAAATTTGATAAATTTTTAATATATATAATATAACTATTTTTAAATTTCATAATATTATTTAAATTATTTATATTTCGAACAAAAACGAATCGAACACGAACGAACGGGTCATTGTTCGTGTTTGGTTCGTTTAGCAATCCGAACAAAAAAATTTGTTCGTGTTCGTCTCGTTTGCTTATCGAACGAACCGAACATGATCTGCTTCACGAATTGAACACGAACTGTTCGCGAACAACGAGCTTTTTTGACAGCCCTACTTGGAGGAGCTTGACATGGCAAGGAATGATTTTCTTCAGGCGAATGTTCTTGTAAAGAAATCAAGGAAGATATTCAAGCTTCTTGATAGATATGCGAAGGAAGCCACCCTCACCTGCGAAGAGCTAGTTGGATGGGCGTGTGCAAACATCGATAAGAAATTGAACGATGCAATTCTGAAATGCAACAATGTTAAGAACAAGAGAGTGGCACAGGCCATTGAGAGGCTGCCATACAACTCAAAGTTTCGCTATGTATTTGGTAATGATTTAACGGAAAAGCCATGGTGGGTGTAAGCAAAGGCAGTTTTCAAATTGTTATTTCAGTAAATTATGACTTCAGATAAATCTTCAGTTCTGCTGCATTTGTTTCTCCTTTTTCTCTTTTTTTAATTTAAAGCTTGTTTGTTTGTGAAAGCTTTCTTGTTGAGAGTTTGAGTAGTTATTAGGTGAAGTCTAGGAAATGGGCATCTTATATACACACACAGAGAGATAGCGAGGGGGAGAGAGAGAGAGAGAGAGAGAGAGAGAGACTAATCGAGATATGATGAATAATACGTCATCATCATATTTATAAAATGATTCCTCTATTTATTGAGGGAGAGGGGACGATATTATTACATTTATTCCTCTACTTTAAAAGAAGTTTTATTAGGGTATTTTTGGTATTTGACATGTATAAATTTGTCGCCCGGATGCTCTTTAGCTTGATCTGTTAAGTTCAGTTAGCTTCGGGTTGACGGGATTTGCTAGGTTTGTATGAGTCGGCAGGCTGATCTGATATGGTTGTCGATCTATGATACATGATAATGAGCATTTGGGGCGTCCATGAGATGGTTGAAGATGATGCGCACTAGATTTTCTTTTGAATCATGGGGGTTAGATTATCATATCGAGTTGACTCTCTCATGGTAGTTGGCTCGGAAGCTCTTTAGTTTCGTTTCTGGTCGAATAATCCGTGCTTGCATCATCTGGTTATCTTCTTGTCCACATTGTGGCTCGATCGATTTTGTCTTTGCTAGCTTGGCTCGTATTGCTTGCTAGATCGGTCAAGTGGGCTTAACGATCTTCTCACAGTGGGTCAACCTTCACTGTACTCCTCCCTTCTGAAACATTAGATCTCTTTAAGATCAGTGCTGACACATTAATTACCCCATGATAAAAGCCCAATCATTTAATCATTTGGCTAAAGTAGATGCATTATTTTTATATTACTCATAAATACCTTATTTTTAAAATGATTTTGAAAATTAACTAATATTAATGATACGTCGTCAACAAATTTATCATCTGACATGAATATCGATGCAACATTTGAGTAAGAAATGCTCATACTCAAATAAAAAATAAAAAAAACATCCCAAATTTTAATTTTAGTAAATTTACAATTAAAATGACTAGCTTTACAAACAAAACTAATAATACTAAAGTTGGTCCAATCCGAATCAAATAAAGCCTAGATCAAATCATTAAACCATTGTTTAAGACTTTCAGTGTATAATTAAAAGTTTAAACATATTCTAAATATGATAAGTTTATAGTCAAATTGAGCGTACAGACGAGAACAATCCAACAAGCCTAAGATTGCTCAATTCTGACATTATTAAGGCACTCAAATGTTCACTGCACACCATCTGATAGACGGTATCTCTCCGGGCTGTCACATTGAGTGGTCTAAATTTCTTCCTTGTTTGCATAAGGGCTTCCCCCAGAATTTATAAATAGAGTCTTACCCCTTCTCTTGAGAGGGGCAAGAAAATTGGCCTAAAAGAAGACTGAAGCTTTGAGAATGAGCTAAAGTCAAGCATCTTTTCTGCACCCCATATCTGGCGAATACCTCCCGCTCCTACATCCTCCAAACACCACATGCTAGCCACAATCAACCACCTTCGACCACAACTTACTCATCGTATAAAAGTCTCTTGTAGAGCCACAACATAGGTTGCAGAATCCAAGTGTATGTTGTGAAATATTGAAGCACTCAACTGAGCAATATGTCATCCAATACACCCTGCAATGAAGTGCCCTAAATACAGTGTAACAATGCACCTCGAATACTGTGCAATGACACAACCTAATGATGGTGTATCAATGCACTTCAAATACATTGCAATGACATCTTTCTTAGACGATGTAACAATGCACCCAGAAAGATGGCAACTTTCTTCGGACTCCTAAAGCTCTCTCCTCACAAGTCTCCACTACGACCAACATGACTAATTATAACATACATGGTTCACAGCTCGTGTAGCTCCTAACTCCAACCTCTACACCCTACAAACATCATAAGAGCTCAGAACTATGACCAACGTGGCGTACAACTCATTCAACTTCCGGCTTCAGTCATTGCATCCTACAGACGTTATCATAGCTCAACATTACAACCTACAAGACCAACTACGACCTATGCGGTTAATTGCTTTTGCAGCTACGGACTCCACCCCCTACAACCTACATACATCACACAGCTTGCCAACACGACATATGTGGCCCACAACTCATGTAACTCTCGACTCTAGCTTCTGCAACCTACAAATGTTATCACAGCTCACCACTATGACCTACGTGACAAACTATGTCCTATATGATTCACAGTTTATGCATCTCCTGACTCTGACCACTGCGGCCTACAAACATCATCACAACTCACCACTAACTCTCTGTTACTAACTACAACTTATACAGTCCACAACTCGTGTAGCTCTTCACTCCAACTTCTGTGTTATATGGACATTATCGTTACTCACCACTATGACCTACGTGATATATAACTCATTTAACTCATGGCTTTGTTCTCTGGGGCCTACGAACGCCATCTTAGCTCATCACCACAACCTACGTGATCCACATCTCTTGTAACTCCCAACTCCAACCTCTACGAACTACAAACGTTATCACAACTCACCACTACGACTTACATTACCAACTATGACCTACATAGTTCACAACTTCTGTAACTTCCTACAAGGACCTCTATGACCAACCAGTACTCCTGAAACAATCATCTACGACCCACACAACAAAATACTATTATTATATACGACAAACTAACACTACAACAATCATCTACAACATTCACAGATGACCAATGTTTTCATAACAATCGACTACATTTCTTGCAATATGCTATTACTGAGAGTCACATTCATTAAAGCCAAACCACAACTCTTATTAATGAATTATTATTATATATTTATAATGATAAACTTTATAACTCCATCTTCTTTAATTTAATAGAAGAAAATACATATATAGTCATCATTCATAATAAATTATTTCAATTGAACTATACTCTAAGATTTTTTTCTCTTCCAAGAATTTTCCACGTAAAAATTGTGGTGTCTCATCCTGCTTACTTCTCTTTAATTATCTCAGTATTTGTTAGATTTAATGTAAACAATATTGCATTACTCTACGGCCTTCGATGTTCTTACATGCATCAATTAATTGTATTGAAAGTAAAATACGTATTTTTATTTCCTCTGTTAGTATCATTCTGATAATAATTATTATATAAATAAAAAAAAGGTTGCCTTATTCTCTTGTCATCCTATAAGAATTATATTCCGACGGATGAATAAATCAGACGGTTCAGATCTCAAACCAACGGTTCAGATCATATCATGCAAAATATTATCGAAAACATTTATATTTTTCTATATTTAAATAAGTTGCTATGTACGTATGCTCCAGAACAGTACGTAGTACACCCGTTACAAACGCACCCGTAAAAGCTAAAGCTAAAGCTGAAGCAAACATGCGAAACGAATGTCTCTTAGAACAGAACAGAACAGAACAGAGCCCAGAGCACTCCCCTCATTCATGGCCGCCGAAACCCTTCTCTTCGCTAAAGAGTGAAAATAGAAGATCCGCAAAAGCGCTCAGAATATACTTATGCGCCTGTTTTCGATTGAGCTCCAGGTAGCAGAATAGGAGCTCGCGGAGGACGGCGAGGTCGATCTGAGTCCCACGGCCGGAAACCCCGATCGCCGCCGCCATCTCCTCCATGGATTGACGGAAATCCACATAGGGGTTCGGTGTGTAGGTTGCAACCGCTACGCCGGCGGATCCAAGGCGGATGATTACGGTGGAGGAATCGAGGATGGAATTGGATGGACCAGGGGAGGCGGGAAAGAGACGGCGTGAGGCGATGGCGGAGGAGATTAGATCATGATCAGCGGCAG